CCAGGTGTTTCGGTTTCATTGTCCAACCCCTGTACTTCCCATAATCAGGAGAACAGTGATTTAACAAAGAAAAATGTTAGATGCATTCCACCTCAAAATGCAGGAAATAGGGTTTCAGAGTATACATTTCAAAATTTTACGGTGGGAGGATACCCACGCACCCCTATGCCATGCAAAACCTAAAGATTTCATACACCAAGGTGTACACCCTATGAAATATTCCTAGCTAAAATCCTGGCTGTGAATTAGCACTATACAAAGAAACTGAATGGAACGGAAAATTTGTTTAAACTTCTCTCCTTCACAGCATTTTTGTTATGTGTTGATGTGTGTGTTCATCTCCTTTTTATATTTTCAAATGTCCCTTTTAAGTTTGCGAGTCTTCTTTCTCAGTTTGCAAGACTCTTTTAAAACTTGATCTGAGTTCAAGTTCATGTTGCGTCAAAGAGATGTATAACCTTGCAAGGGCTTTGTGTAGTGTTCAAAACTGAATGTATTTGATTTGGCATCCAGTCAGACAAAAAAAAATTTAGTCATGCGATGTCTGTAGCAATTAAGATGTGTTAAATTAAACGCTACACAGATGCTGGCAAATACATACGACTGAGCCACTGGCTGGCAGAGCAAGACAGATAGGAGTGTACATAGTTATTCGCAGGAAGGTCATGAGTCAGACAGGAAAAAAGACATAGGGGTAGAGAAAACTTAATGCAGGTCTAATGTCCAAATGATTATTACACAGGCTCTTTGGTTTTCATTATTGTTGTTGTTGGTACTACTACTACTAATAAAAATAATAAACAGTACATATTTTTTATAACACAACTCTTTAGTGTTCATACAGTTACAAAAGCCAACACACATAAATTATTATTGCAAATTTTTTTGAAAGTTCTTTTTTTCTATAACCATGAGGTTGTTGGCTTTAGATGCTAATTTGTAGCCTGTTTTAGACATGGCTTTTTCTTTGTTCCTTTGTATCATTTTTCGTGTATTTCTTTTCAGTTCAAAATAATTTTGCAACTCTGCAACTTTTTTTTATTTTTTTTTTTATTTAGTGAGACGACAGAACCTTGTTAAATTGGTAATTTTTGTGTGTTTGTGCACTTTGTGAGGTCACCGATAGGATGACTAAGAGTGAGAGAGAACTGGAAGAAGAAAAAGGAAAGTGTGCTGGTGTATGTGTGTGTGTGTGTGTTCCTGTACTATTTGTCATCCGGCCGCACTCTTTGGTGACACCTTGTTCATTTGCGAAACCCGCTGTTTGAGATGCAGGAATCGATCGAGTAAATAGAAGAGTCGAGCCCTCGAGATAAAGAAAAGAAAGGTAGGGAGAGAAAAGGCATTGGATTGAAATTTATGTGCAGGTTTTACCAATATTTCAACCATAAAACTGGGCACACAACCATCGTGACTGGCGGGACAGCAGATTACTAGAAAAAACATTAAAAACACCCCAAGAAAGATGCAGTTAGTCACTAAATTGTACTGCATAAGTCTTAAAGTAGACCAGACGATTATTATTTTACATTCAGTTTGAACAATTGGCCAATATTCCTGCAGTTTAAAATGAAAAGTTTAATTTTAAAGACAGAGCTGACAACTTTATTAGACAGTCTCATAACTCAACATTCATCCGAGACGTTGCCAGATGTTTACTTTTACAACTGATTAGGTTTTAACAACACAGTTTACAGATGGATATTACGGTGGCTTCCATTAGAGAGTAAGTAAACTAATCGATATAGTGCTTTCTGTTGATTAAGACCATGGAATGTGGAAGAGAGCTTCAGAGAAATTAGACTTTTACATTTCCCCTGAGAGTTCATCTTAAAGATTGTAACTGATGCACAAGTATGTTTAGATTTTATTTTCTTTAGTGACTAAAGTAGGAGGAAAGAGATGGATTCTATAATGTATGTAGAAATCTAACTTGCAGGCTTGAGCAGGAAGGCTCCGTTATCATTCATTGAAGTTGTGTTCAGTGTTGTGTTCAATGCGCCTTAAAAGTGGCAAGCTTGAAATATTGACAATTGGACTTAATCAGGTTTTTGGTGCACTTTGGAAAACCAACCTGGTTTCTTATCTTAACAAATATATACTGTACAGCTTTAGGGTTTATAGATAATTCTTTTTTTTATAATCATTTTGGTAAACTTTTTGTCCTCATATAACTTCTTTTAACCCTGTTAATTGTTTTAGGGATGGGGAAAACCCTAGCGCTTAGGGAAAACCATAAGACAGAGCTAGTTTTGTCTGTTTTAAAGCTGAAGTCACACTTTTCCAATGTACTTGTACTAACACACACTTTACATGGGTCTGAATATAAGTAAATGAAGTACATAGTGTCCTGATTGGTTTAAGGAATCTGACCCACACGCAGAGAAACCACTGAGAAAACACGGGAAAAAGTTTAACAGGTTTATTTGATGTAATGTGAACAGAGGTTGGATCTGGAACTCAGTGAACTGGTGAACCGAAACTGGAGTCCAAAGGGGAGATCACAGAAATCAGTTCAGGGACCATGGGAAATGAGACTGCGGCTTGAATTATGCTGGAGAGGTACTCGTGTTTGAGGGGAGTCTTGTCAATCCTTGAATCCAGTCTGTGTGGGATTATCCAGAGAAGAGGAAACTCATCGGAGAGCGGACAGGTAGACATACGTTGGACCCGGAGGCGTTATGGAGTGGACTGTCACTTGGATTTCCGATGGGAACTTGAACGGATCATGTGGAGGTTTTCCCCTGCTCAGTGTGTACTCAGTAAATCCTTCCATGGGGGGTCCAGGTATCCAGTTACACAGGAAGGCTTCCCAAAACTGGCAAACACTCTGGCGTCAAGGTATTGACAGTCCTCTGCTCAAATACTCCTCCAGTAATGAACCAACGAGCCGCAGTGTGCAGGGAGGCCCAATGAGGACAGGGCACCACCTGGTGGTGGAGAGAGAAAAAAAACCCAAAAACAACCCACACAAACTGGATTCCTAACACATAGTTTTGTAGCACCCAATGCAATTAGCTAGAAGTTAAGAAGGTGAAAACAGGTTTGACCCCTTTTGCCATAAGAACTACTTCAATTGAGTGAGCCTTAAACAGTGCAGACTAAGCATACTGTATGCAGTAAAGTTCTTTTAGGATCTCTGATGAAAAAATCAGAGGCAATTTTGCATATGTGGAATTATAACTTTAAACCTTTAGCTTGCAACATCCATGTCTGACGTTTTCTAAATGTAAGAAATGTGGATTTTAGTTGTGCTGGAGATTAAATTGGGAGTCGGATGCATAAAAACAATACATGTTTTTTTTTTTTTGCATAATACATTTTTTTTCTTCATTAAAGAAATCTAATCTTTGACTTTGCCAATACAAAAAAAACAATTTATTTCACCCACAGTTAAGTTTTATTGATGCCAAAACAAAGTCTAATTCATTTTCATTACTATTTAAGTTAAAATAATTATCCTTAGCCAGGTTTTAGTCTTTGTTTTGGCCCATTTTTCTGTTTATTATTATGACTATCGATTAAAAAAGTATAGCAGCACAATGTAAAACTTAATCTGTCTCAAATTATAATGCTGTGTTGATGTGCCTTATGGTGGTGACTGTTTGCCTTGACATTATGACAGAGCAGCTGGGTGCTAGAGGCTGCAAATGTCAAGGTCATTTAGTTTACTGTGTCAGATCCAGTTAGGGACTTTTTATAGGACTTACACTCAGCAGATTTAAATATAACAAGATCTTCAACCATAGAGCTGTCATGATGGTGTTGAATGAAGGAACAAAATGTGAACAGGAACCCTGATAGATGCCGTAGAGGTTTAAGTTTGAACAGAAGAAAAAAAAAAAAAAAACTGCATAAAACAGAAGTTTACAAACTCAAAATCCAAAGAAAAATCAAATTTCAAGAAAAAAAAAAGTAAATATAAAAACTACAAAAAAAAAAAAAAAAATCACAGCTGACAAAAAGTGTAATTAATGGATTGAACAGGCAACAAAAAATAATACAGAGAATCGAAGCAGAATCAAACAGATTTCTATTCTATTCTATTTGGACATTCTGTTTCATATTATTTGTCCCAGTTCCTTTCTCGTATGTGAACCTCTACTGTTAAATCTTAACATCATTGTTCTATTTTTTTTTATTTCATGTTTTATTGTCTTCTGTTTCATTTTATTCTAATGTGGTAAACGTTGTACAACCTCTTTTGTTTAAATTAATTTTACTATTTTTTTGTTTTTACATTCTTTTCTCATCTTCCTTTTTAGAGTGCATTTATCTCTGTTTGTATTGTTGTTTTGTATTTCATGCTATGCCTTTCTGTTGTCATGGGTTACAATCTTATTTGATGTTTTCTTTCCCCATCTTTTCTACTTCTTTGTATTCTAATCTTCTCTCATATTTTCTATTCTTTTTGTTCCATTGCTTTTTCGTTCTATTTTTATCTGTTCTACTGTGCCTCTTTACTACTTATTTTGTTCAGTTCTGTTGAGGTTTTTTTTTTGTCATTGATTTATGATTCCAGTCCATATTAAATTTGTGACTACAAGTGATTGTGTGTGTGTTAAGCTGTGGAAGTTTTCCTGTGCTCTGATTATATATTAGTTTATCTGTGAAGTTACAGAAATCCAAGGTTCCCAAAGAGGGGATCCAGTAAACTTTATTGTAGAGTGAGTTTAACTTTGTCAGTAAAGATAAACTCAATTTTCAGGAGACTCATGAGATGTTACTTTGTAATTTATTGAGTGTGTAAAGCTCTCAGCTGAAGTATCTGTTTCTCTGTGCAGCAGCTTTATTCTCTTTAATGCCACATTCAAGTTTTAGCAGGCTTCAGTCTTAGTTCGTTTTCCTCTTCCTTTTAAATCATCTTTCTACAGTTCTTGTCTTGCATGGATGAGCTTTTTGGATAAGAAAATGGTATTGGGGAGATCATTTCATGCCGCATTACAACATGAGGTTGAAAAACTTCCCTGACTCCATCTGTTCTTCTCTGTGTCCTGCAGTGCAGTTCAACTTGATTCCTGTGGGACTCAGGATAGTGGCCATCCAGAGCACCAAGACGGGGCTCTACATCGCCATGAACAGCGAGGGCTACCTCTACACCTCGGTATAGTCAGAGCATATTTTACTATGTTGCCTTGAGACTTTAAAATCCCAATATGTGATTTCATTACACACGCCCTGCTTGGAGAAACTGCCCCCTCGCTGCTGCATTTACTCCTGCTGGCTCAGATGAGCCCTGTCACGAACCATGCTTTCCAACAAATTATACAGGTTCCTTCCAACAAAGGTAATGTTCCCATATTTCATAGATTTACTGTGCTTATGAAAGCCTTTCAAGTCAGTCTGCGTGGCAAAAATAACTCGGTCCAATATCAGGCTGAACACTGATAGCCTCATAAGATGCTGCTGCACTTCTCACCAGTATTCCATGCTGAAATCTATTCAACATGCACGTTTACACCTATAATGGCATCATTACTGCAGGCCTTTCTGCTACATCAGAAAAATCTCCAAAAAAACATATCATGACCACCAGCTGAACTCCCCATTATCAAACAGCCAAGTCTACTTTAAAACACAATGTAAAGTGAACTGGCTTTCTATTTGGTTTTACTGCTAGTACTAATATATTATAAAGCTATAATCTTTTAGTTAAAGAAAACATATATATAATTGGGATGCTATTATAGCCACCGACCAGAGTTTGCACATTCATCAATTTTACAAAGCACATTGCTACTTGTCTTGCATTGACTAAAAAAAGAACATCTATTAGCAGTTAGAAAATTTCAAGTGGGGTGAAAGTGACCGATTCTCAAAGAGCCGTGTTGTTTATGACATGCTGTTGACTGTTTACTATCTCCTAAGAGCTCGTGATGAATAGGGGTGCGGGGAAAAAAAATCACTTTGGCGATATATAGTGATTTTCGCCTGCTCTAAATAAAATCCATCTGTCTTTTTCTAGTATAAATTTTAAAATAACAAAACATTTTTACCCATAACAATGAGGAAAAATAGGCTACCCCTGCACCCCCCCTCTGGCAGACAGTGCTGTGAAGCCGTTTTGCAGTGCAGCAGCTCCATGTCTGTAGATGAGGCAGTCAGAGTGGAAGACATGGACTGACTCAAACCCTAAACAACATGGATACCAAAAAAACTGAATGATCAACGTCTTCAGATGAACATATACAGCACTTGCTTTTTTATCTATACATTTAATTTGATAGCTGGGAACTATATCACAATATATAGTGATATTGCAATATAGTGATGGTATCACATCGTGACACCAGGGAGTTTTTCCTCTCCATTGTCGCTACAAGCATGTTTAGTGTGAGGGATTGTATTTGAGTCAATGAGTCAATGCAATCAACTGGTTTTCCTTAGATAGAAAACTTTGTATCAATTTGACTGTATGATCTGGTTGAATCTTAAAGTGCCTTGAGATGACATGTGTTGTGAATTTGGCGCTATACAAAATAAACTGAATTGAATTGAATTGACACGTATCATGTCGCAAAACCCATGCCAATACTCACCCCTAGTGGTTACTGTCTTCTATGGATCTCTTTATATAGAACATCCCTTGATTTATTCTGAATGTATATATTCTGTATTTTATATATTTTTTAAATTAACAGTATGGTAACATCTCTTAACCAAAACAAATTCTTCATATGTGTAAAACACTACTTGAAAATAAAGTATTTTCTGATTTGGATTCTGATTGTAGAAGGCATAAACAAAGAGAATAAGTTGTTAACTTTCTTGCTCTACTCTATAATAAGAACTTGAACTGTTCAGGAAAGGTTAGAATCTGGTTTATGCAGATAAAAACATTTTGACTAAAGTACATTTCAACATATGGTTTCCCTGTTTCACCTTTTAAAAATAACTTCCTAATTGGATGTAAAGCATATTTTAACTAGTGGCAGAAATTATGAAAAAATAGAAATGCATGTCCATTTCTTTATGTGTTGAGATGTTCTACCAATGCATGCATGGGTTCTCTTCAGGTACTTCCCCTTCCTCCAGTAATTGTCCTATTTACTGTAATTCAGCCACACTGTAAATTCCCTCTGTTTTTGGTGCTACCCTTTAGGAGTAGGTACAAACGATATTATTATCGTTATTTTTCATTAATGCTTGTGAAAACCTACTAAAGCGATATTTTTGGATGGGGTGTAATGAAACTGAAATGTCCCATTTTGGTATCAATTAAGTATTTTTGAATTAAATTAAATGAAGTATAAATATAAGTTGGCAGTGGCAGACTTAATAACCTTAATATGTTTATAAAGGGTATAATTGAATTTTCTAATACAACAGCAGATCCTATCTTTATATTAATCTTTATTAAATAGGGATTACAGAGTTTTCTACTAATACTGCCACCTTCAGCCAAATTGCAGAACTGCAGCAGTCTGCAATTCGCTTCTGATTGTCCACAAAATCCATCTTGAATATAAAGGTTCGATTGCTAGATTGGATCCACTTAACAAATTCAAGAAAATAGGCTGCAGGCTTAAAAACTGACTACTGTGGTGTCAGTCTGCTCATCATAGTATGTTTTAGTAAAGTGTTAAATAAAAAGGCTATTAAATAGTTGTCAGTAAAAACTTTTAACTCAAACACCAAAGTATACTGTGCTATCTTACTACGGTGCCCTGAGGTGAGATCATCAGGCACTGTGTTTTATGCCAGCAAACATTGGTGTATCAAACAGGTTCCTGCTCTCACTCACAGCAGCCTGGTTATGCTGTTTTCTCTGAAAGGGCTCAAACAGAACATCCTCAGGGTCGCTCTGCATTGATGTGTGGGGAGATGCGTCAGAGCCGAGACTCAGATTTAACAGGTGGATTCAAGCACAGATCATCGGCGCTCTCTAACAGGATCCAAATGAAAGCATATTTTTTCCCATAATGGTGAACAGGAAGACTGTGTGAGATCTTTTTTGAAGCAAAGCAATACATTTACTTTAGTACGTTTAGACAAGAGCTTTCTATCAGAAACAAAAGCAGGTCAGAATGAACACTAAGATGAAAATTGCTTCTTATGCTTACATACGTACAGAACCAGAGCATCCATCAGCTGTCCAAAGCTGTATGTTTTTTCATGTTCTCTGCTTGTTCTACCAGCTTCTTGCTGTGCAGTTGTGGTGCAGCTCACACACAATCAGACTAAATTAATATTTATAGTTTGCTAATAAAATCCAGAACACACTGATGCATTGCCACTATTAGGCTGGTACTGAGCTGAGCTTTCATACCTTGTTCTGCATGCAGCCAGTCAAACCAGAATTGGGTTGGAAAAGAAGACTGAGAAGTTGCATTCTATCCATCCATCCAACTTCTTCCACTTATCTGGGTTCGAGTGGCGGGAGTAGCAGCTTCAGTAGGGAGGCCCAGATGTCCCTCTCCTCAGTCATTTGGGCCAGCTCCTCCGGGGCAATCCAAAGGCGCTCCCAGGCCACTCAAGAAACTTAGTCCCTCCAGCGTGTCCTGGGTCTCACCCTAGGCCTCCTCCCGGTGGGACGTGCCTGGAAGACCTCACCAGGGAGACATCCAGGAGGCATCCTAATCATCCTAAAAAGAATAGATGTTTATTTTAACTGATGAACTTGTATGGCTGAGTGTTAACACAAGGCTAAACAAACAGATATCCGCAATAATTTTCTTTGTTTTTTACATGTCATCAATTTGGTGTTAGGCTAATCAGTTGAGGACTTTTATCTGGTGGTTGAAATTGTAGCCTTGTGGTAAACGCCATGCTTACATAGCGGTGACAGTGGCGTTGGATGAAGGAGTTTGCCCTGCAACTGGAGGGTTGTAGGTTTAAGTCCAGGCTTCTGTTTTCAGTGAGCCCCAGGGCAGCTGTGGATACATTGTAGATTGCCACCATCAGTGTGTGTATAACCCAATTTCAGCACAGGACAAAGACCCAGCAATTGTTCCTATCATACAGTCACTTTATGGGGGTCCAGGATTCTCCCCAGAAGATATTTAGGGTCAAAGGGGATGTGATCTCTAGAAAGTTTAAGACACCTAATGCTTCCTAAAATCTAATGAGCCCTGGCACCTAAGGGTGAAAAAACTTCTGGACTCATCCGTGACAGGTCCTGTTGGCCTAAGATAGGAGCCAAGGTAACAGAGAGTACTGACAGGAACCCTAAATGAAAAAAGACAGCTCATGATAAGCATGTAGAAGAACAAGTTCTAACTGACAGGATCTTATTGAGAAACTATGGTGTCAAAGGAAAACAGAAAATTGGAGGTCAAATGGAGTCTTATGCCACACTTATTGTAGATACCGGTAAGTTAATTATGTTTGTTAATACAAACAAACAGAACCAAAGGGGAGAAAATTGAAATTAGTTCAATCTACTTTTAAATAGCCACATCTACTATGTTTTATTAGTTTAAAGGCCATCATTTCACAATGGAAAAAAAAAGAGAATTTGCAATCATCTCAGAAATGGACATTCCAGCAAATCCACAATGGTGCAATGCTCAAAGAAATGCAAAGATATTCTTTTTAGACTCTGCATACCTCAGATGGCATGATAAATATCAAAGTTTATGATTTTGCTTTGCAATGCCTCAGTTATGCAAGGTTGATTAAGAATTATTCACATAGGTAGAATATCTTCTGAAACAATTTCCTTAAGGACCAGATAACAAGTGTTACATTCACAGATTAAACACGTAGATTATCAGCACAAAAGAAAAAGCTTTTTTAATTCAGCTTAAGAGTAAAGTCAAAACTTTTGGCCTCTGAAAGACCTTCATAAAATTCCCTTTCTACCGTATTACTTATAATCCACCGTTACACACAGATACTAACGTTTGTAACACGATAAACACACAGAGATAGTCAGAATATACCGGGCTGTTCTCCTGACAGAGAAGAAGGTGACCCATTTTCACTTAGGGAAATAACCACTGATAGAGCATGGAGGAGGGGGGGGATCCTCCGGGAAAATCCCTTTGAGATGAAAGTGAGAGCGGACGAAGAAGATGAGGCCACGTTGTTCTTTCTAACATTACGTTTACAGTAGTTTACATCTTGTTTTGTGACAATAAATAAAGCAGTCAACAGAGGTAT